GTAATAAAGTCGAATAAACTTGAAATATTCATTCTTTTCATTTGATAATACAAAGAAATAATTAAACTAATTGTGAGGGGAAAAAATTAACTGGTGAATGTTTCGATCAAAATCTGATAAAAAAACAGAAACAATGATCATTAAGTTTGTTTTTCTTTACTTTTAAAAGTAATTTTTCAAATTATAATTAAAAAACAAACTTCTATTTCTAAAATATTTTACTCAAACATTGTAGAATTTATATTTTAGCATTATCTGATGCTTATCTAGTATATTTTAGAAATATAAATTTCTGATCTTTTGTTTCTATCATGTCTGTCTCTCTTAGTGTCCAACCATAAACTTCTTATTTCTAGTTTTCTTTATCTTTTTCTTAGCTACTTCGCTTTTATCTATTTCTTCCAATCAGATTTCAGCATTCTCAATTAGCTTGACATCTGTCTTATTGTTTTAAACTTCTGTTTGCTCAAATGCTGCACTGTCCAGACGAGTATTGAGAACTCTACACTGATCTTCATCTTTAAAGAGAGTTAAAGCTTAAGGCCAAGAATCATCAAAATGGAGGAGATGCTAAGTTTTCAATGCTATACAATCTAAATCCCAATTGTGCTTCGTAAGAATCAATACACTTCTGAAAATGGGTGTGACCAAGGATAATGAAATAACCTCAAGACAAAACTTTAGAACTAATTAGAAGTTTGGGATTCTATTTTTAGTTTTTGATTATGTTATTTTTATCCTTGATAATAGTTTGGTGTTATATTATGTCTATTTGAAAGATACAGGAAAATTATTAGAAGTTTGGGATTCTATTTTTAGTTTTTGATTATGTTATTTTTATCCTTGATAATAGTTTGGTGTTATATTATGTCTATTTGAAAGATACAGGAAAATTATTCAAATGACAAGATATCAGGTAAGGATATTGAAATTTAGTGAATACATCAAGATAAGGTCTGCAACAGCAAATTATTTAGATAACACAAATCTTTATTGAATATATTGTTAAGTGTAGTGTTTCAAATATAAGAACTTATTATTTTTTGATAACAAACTAAAGGTATCATATAAAACTGATCTCAACTAAAAGATAAAGTGGATAAAATATCATGCTACCACACCTGACAAAGGCAATGGTGCCACCATACAGAAAAGGCAAGGTTATTTTTTCAATTATACCGTGTTCGTATGCTTTACACTGAGAAGTCGACTGTTTAAATTGACAAAATAAAGTATTAAAAAACATATACTAATGGATATCAAACAAGTTAAAACTGATTTGATGCATAAAATAGAGCTTTCTGACAACTAACAAAAAAAAGAGGTTTAAGATGAAAAAAAGTATTTTATTGTTTCATGACAAATATTTGGAAATTTCATAACCTAAACAAAATTATATAAATACTAAATCAAATTTTAAGCTAATTTTTCACAGGAACTGGAAACTATTTAGAAAGTTCATACTAAGTTTTGGGCAGTTTGTTCAAGACTTTTTCATTGAGAGTGAAAGGAACAGAAGATATCAGTGATATCCCTCTGTTACAGAAAGGTTTAATGCAACATTATGGGCATTCTTTCCAAATATAACTTTTCCCAACATTTTATATTTTTCATTATATATTATCAATATTGTGTAAATAATATAACTTTTCCCAACATGTAGAAGTCACTGACAGAGATCTTTGATAATTATTTGGTACTACTTTATGATGAGTTGTGTGGTTATAATATGCAAATATACAAAATGGTAACCATTACATTTGTGGTTACATGAGTTGTTTTGTTTATATTTACTGATTTTTTTTTTTGTCTAATAAAGTTTTACATAATTTGTTATTTAACTTGTGTGATACTGTTTGAGATGTTTCAGTTATTCTGATGAAAAGAATGAGTAAAAACAAATGGAACTATGATGCGACAAAATTGGAAAAAATTTACACAATATTGATAATATATAATGAAAAACATAAAATACTTCAATTACTGTGTTTGTTTTTAATATTTTCATGCAAAGTTACACAGGGATTATCTGGACATAACAATCTTTAACTTTGAACTGACAGACTAGAGGGATGGAAGCTGATAACAACATCCACTGCCAACTCTTGGATTATTCTTACCTGAACAAATAGTGGGATTTGACTTTTACAACTATAATGCATCCACAGCTCCTAAATGTGGAGAGCAATTTTTTGGCAGTATGATGCAAACCATGAACCTTTAGATTCACAGTCTGAACATGCTAATTCCCAAACCACACCCAGCCCAATAATTCAACTGAAATAAAAATTATTAGCTTACTTTTTGATCTTTTCACAGCAATCTGCTATACGGCCTGATTGATTCTATAAAGAGAAATATGTTCTAATTCTTAAAATTAATATATTTCTTGGTCAGTCATAAATACTTTCATCCTGGAATTAAAAAACACAACTGTGTACTTTCCAAAGCCATTTTTTTTAAATGCCTTTACCTATAAACAGTTCAAAATACAAAAACTATAAGAAAAAAAAACCTGTACGTTAGCAAAATAAAATTCATATAAACATGAAAGTAATGGTTATGTTTAGCACATTAGAACATAAGGACATTTACAACATTAAAATACAAACACCTTTCTTCTCTCCAGTTCTTTTCAAGTCTAATTACCATGTACAATAAAAAAATAAACCTATGAAGGAATATAACTTACTTGGCATAACAAATTAATAAAATTACAAATGGTTTAGTGAAGCATTTGTGGCATTTCACTGTAATTCAAATGCTTCAAGTATTGAGAAAATATGGATATTACAAAAAGTTACATGCATGCCACATATATAATAAGAATTGTAGTGCACATTTAGTGAAAGCACAAGAGAAGTTATATAACAAAGGTTGACCAAGAATACGTTAACAAAGTAGATGTTTATAATACCTATAAACTGATGCTATCACAGCTGTGAGAATATCTATGAAAGCCTCATTAGAGACTGAGCACGAGATTATTATCTACAGACTGATTCTATCATAGCAGAAAGAATGCTACAAGAAAAGTTTACATTAACTTGGACACAGTTACTAAAAAAGAGATTCATCGGAACTTTTATGTAAGATCCATATCAAAAATGCAAGGAGAGATACAAGCAAGTAGGCCACTGATTTACCATCTTTATCTATAACCAGTGGTCAAGTGGTTCTGGTTCCGAGAATCACAATAGGATTGCAAAAGTCGACGAATTAAGTGTCAGACCTACTTGTGGGTAGATGTGTACACTATTCGGAAAGTCATAAGAACACCAAAAAGATTCAGTACAATAACCTCTGTTTTGGGGACCAAAAAGTTGAGTTCTCTCTGGTGCTGAAAAAGTTCTCCAAGGACCAGAAAGGAGTTATCAGCAGCATAGAAGTAAAGAATACTCCAGTTTGAAAAGCCATGTCTGTAACTATGCTGCAAGTGTCCAATGTTTCTCGCTGAAACTCAATGTAAGTAAATTATAGCTATCTCTTTCTAGAATCGAATAACATAGTTATGATTGAAAGTTCAAAGATATGTCTGAACATATTTCAACCCATGTGTTAACTGATAACTTACTGGAAGTGTTGAGTAATTTAACGGACATTATAGAAAGCATAACCGAGGAACAATTACCAGCACAAATTGATGAGTTTGATAATTTTGATGTTAATATTTTCCAAGATACCTTCGGTAATTTCGATGTAGCCGAGTATCTTGATATAGTCCATTAAAGTGTCATTATATTTGAACCTCAGTCTTAGAGTCAATTCTTTATTCTAACTGTAGTGACTTGTGAACTCCACTTGTGACTGTACACCTGGATTTAATATAAATCTATTGTAACCGGTGGTGAAGTCGAAGCTCCAACGACTATCCTACATGTCCACCTGTTACATTAGTCAATCAAGATAAATTGAAATAAACTGATATTTAATAAAAATAATTAGTACCAGTCATCTAATGCTTTTACTAATATTTCAAACAATATATCAAACCAAAATAAATAATACATATTCAATGTCAACCTACGTTCTAGATTCAAAGTGTGAAACAAAACATAAAGGTACTAATATTTGTATATTCATGTTTCAAAGGAAAAATATTTAGTACAATATAACAGGCTTAACTGCCACGGGCTGTTATTTTGGGTCACCTAATAAGGAGGGTATCAGCCAAGTTTCATTATAAAAAAATACTGATTGATAAACTTCAAACATACATACAAAACATAAACAGTAAAATCCTTAAATCTTCCTTGTATAATTTTAATTTCTAATGATTAATGAAATGTCAATATGTCAAGGAAATTTTTGTATAAAAAGTTTTCTCAAAGGCTACTGAATAGTTAAAGGTGGCATAAAGATAAAGTTTATGAGATCCAGGCTAATATTAGATCCATAAACTAACTAAGAACACAAAGTAATCATTAGAAGTTAGAATATTTAGGCTAATCTTAACTCTAGAAATTAAGTAACAACACAAAGTAATCTTTAGAAGTTAGGAGATCTAGGTTAATCCTAAATCTATAAAATAAGTAAAACACAAAGTAATCTTTAAAGGTTAGGAGATATAGGTTAATCATTCATACATCTATAACCTAAGTAACAACACAAAATATTCTTTATAAGTGTAAATTTAATTCCAAAAATTATATTATGCATTACAACCAATAAGATTTAATAAAACTAACTCTCAGGAAATGTGAGATGTACTCCGTGGCTTAAAATCTGTTAAGTGTATCACTAACCACAAGTAAACACATTTATTATCTTAAATATTTTTTTCTTTTAAGATACCTAACCTAAGAGTAGTAGTGGTAGACTTCTTATTCAAAACACAAGATGTCCACATTAGATACGAAAAATATTATTCACATGTAACAACAAAAATTGAAAATATATTCAATATTTGTACAAGTAAATATATCTAGAAGCTGCTAATGAATAGATTAATCATAGTAACAAAACATGGTAATTTGTGATTTTGTAAACCTCTAGGTTTAGAACGTCTTTCAAGCTGGTTACATTCAATTTATAAAACAAAATGGTATCCTTCCAATAGATAAATAAACCAAAGTATATCATATTACAAATACATTTTTTTTTAAATATCTACTACCACTGAAAGATTTATTATAATACTCTGTGGTTAAACAATTACACTTGTTTCTTTAATCTTTTAGGATTCAGTTAGTGGAAGATTTAAAACTTACCTGCACTTTACGAGCTACATGCAGAACTAACTGGAATTTGTCAGAAACACCTAAATCCCTATCTCCTTCCTAAATAGACAGAAATGAGTCACTTAAGACCTAAATAAATTCAAACTTAAAGATACCAAAAACAGCTAACACATGAAATATTGAAGAACTCTGCATATATTCTGTCAGAAGATAAAAATACACCGGTTAAAATACACCTAAATAATCATCATCACCGTGGCTTTATCTTCTGATGCATGCGTATCGATTCGGTGATGATGATTATTTAGGTGTATTTTAACCTAGAATCAATACGCATGCATCAGAAGATAAAGCCACAGGTTAAAATACACCTAAATAATCATCGTCACCGAATTGATACGCATGCATCATTCTAAAAAATTTATAATTATTATGTGGCTGAAGGTACTAGAATTCCTTAACGTTGTTTATTACTAAAAATTAACAAGTTCTTGAATAATGCTTTTTTAATTACTTTACCATAATTTTATATTGTGTTTGTAAAATACTCTAAGTAAATCTTATGACAAAATTATTACAATAGTTTGTTTTCATAGTTACATTCACAGGCAGCACTTGAGAATTTTGTTTGAGTAGAATATTTTGTCGTAAACATATGGAGGCATTGCAGTTGAGTAGAATCAGTTCTAGAATTACCAGATATCCCAGTTTCTAGCCTTATTTGTTTCTGTACTGATAAGAAAGCATGAAAGTATTAAAACGTTCTAGTTTCTCTATACTTCAATGTGAGTTTGATATGTACATTTTGTCATTATAAACAGCTCCTTCAAATTTTACTTGGAGAATCACTTCGTACAGTGTTTCCTCCCTCTCAGCTATGTTTTCCTAGTCTAATCTGTCATTGAACAGCTGCAGGAACTGAGATTTGAAGTACTGTTTGGCTGTGAAAAAGAAACTAAGAAGAAATATTTTTCCTTTGAGTGTGTTTACGACAACTTAGGTGTATTTTTTTTATTTAATCTATTATTCTTTAAATAGATAAGCTTTTAAGGAATTTCACTATGGTTTTAAAATGCGATGCAATAAATATGAGACTATTCAGCAAATCTAAACTGTTTCAGAACTGCTTCAGTGTCATTCCTTATAAAAAAATTTTTTTTTGACTCTGGAAATATGGTAACCCTAATCATTACACTCTACCAAATACTCTCTTCAATCACATCTTCTTTTGCTCTCTTCCTCTCACCTCACATACTGTACAATATCTTTGGGTTGGTGAGAATAATGTGCAAAGCTTAAAAAAAGGTTATCTGTGCATAACCATCCTTAACTTTGAACTGACAGACCAGAGGGAAAGCAACTAGTCAACAGCATCCACCACCAACTCTTGAATTATTATCAAATAGTGGAATTTGACCATCGTTCTTAAAATGCGTCCAGAGCCCCAAAGTATAAAGCACAATTTTGTGGCATAGTGACCTTCAAATTCACAGTTTGGCATGCTAATTACTAGGCTACACCCAGCCAACCTGTGAAAATACTTGAAAGAAGATTCACTCTTACCTCTTGCTCATTTTTTCTTGTGACACAGCATGATGAAAACCAGCCTCTAAAACATTGAAAACAAATATATAATCAAATAGTGACGGAAAGACTATGTTTGCTTACTGCTATTTGACAACAGTGATTGTTAAACTTAAAACCCCAAATAAAAAATGTAAAAAGATTACAAATACACTAGACAAAAATTTCCTCACCTTTTTACAACTACATATAATGTAGAAGTTATTGTTATCAATAATGAAATATTTCTGGAAACTAGTACCGAGTTTCTTTTTTGCAATGTGTCTTTCAAAACTGATACAATTTTAAATGGAATTGCATTAAGTTCAATTATGTTAAAAATCCAAAAAGCCAGCATTTGCTGAAATCTGTTACATACCTGTACCGGAGGTAGTTGAGTAGCAGTTGACAGTTGGCCAAGAAAAGAAGTAATGGCAAAAACCAACCATGATACACAGTGTACATATACACCTGTAAGGGTAATTATAGTGGCATTCAATTGGAGAACACTTGAGACACTTCTAAAATAGGTTTCTTTATTAATTTATTACAAACATTTTCAAAAAGTAAAAATTTGTGGATTTTCTCGTTTGCAAAGTTAAAAAGTGAATGCTTTTCAACAACAAAAATTACTTGAAATTAACTTTTCACAAACAACAACAACAAAAAAAAAGGATAGTACCATCCACCACCACATACATAGCTAAAATAAATGGAGAAAAAGATTTTCTTATTCGTACTGCTTTGTTTTTATGAAACCCCGTGTCTCGATTAACTTGAAACTTCAACTCTCTGAAGAAAATTTGTAGAATTGATTTTCATACCATGGAATTATTATTTTTTTGTTGTTTTACTGAAAATTTAAAATACCAATCAAAAACGATTTGTTGATATGACTTGAATCTCTCAAGTATAAAATATTTTTATTAATTACAGAAACACAAAAAAAGCTGTTCATTATACCTAGATCTGATCAACTAGCTATGAACTTGATACCTATATCTGATCAACTAGTTATCTTCTTGATACCTAAATCTGACGAATTAGTTCTCTTCTTGATACCTAAATCTGATGAATTAGTTACCTTCTTGATACCTAAATCTGATGAATTAGTTATATCCTTGATACCTAAATCTGATGAATTAGTTACCTTCTTGATACCTAAATCTGATGAATTAGTTACCTTCTTGATACCTAAATCTGATGAATTAGTTATATCCTTGATACCTAAATCTGATGAATTAGTTACCTTCTTGATACCTAAATCTGATGAATTAGTTATATCCTTGATACCTAAATCTGATGAATTAGTTACCTTCTTGATACCTAAATCTGATCAATTAGTTATATCCTTGATACCTAAATCTGATGAATTAGTTATCTTCTCGATACCTAAATCTGATGAATTAGTTATCTTCTCGATACCTAAATCTGATCAACTAGTTATCCATTTTATACTTCATTTGAATTATGATGTTGCAGTTTGACAAGAAATGTTTTTTGTGGAATAATATGAGGTAGGCTTGGTTAAATGATCTTTCACTTGACCATATCAAGTTTCGATATAAAGGACAGTTAAAAGGTCTACAGAAATCACATTAAAAACCTTTTTTAGTGATATACTAGACAAAATTAAGTTTAAAACACAACAGGATGAAACAACTGTATTAAAACCAAATCTTTAGAAAAAACCTGCCAAACATTTTGAGACAGTCTGTGGAAGATACTTAATTTTGTCTAGTAAAGGTATTTTAATGTATCACGTTTCGTTTAGCTGACAAGGCCAATGTTTGTTGTGTTGTGTTTATGCTACATTTTAATGGCCTAAGTAACTGCTTGAACAGGCAAAGAAAGTCAGAAAAATGAAATCTAAAAATACATACATATGAATGAATATAAAATGGTTTAAATCTTAAGAAATATACTAAATGACACTTTTGTATTAACGACTTAAAAAAAGTTGGATTGCTTATAAATTTGGTATAGTAAAAAAAGATATTTTTTTTTGTACACTAGTGATCATAAACATAATGAAACTGTGTGTGATGTTTTTTCAAATCCAAACAAAGACAAAATTTACAATTTTTAGGATAAAAACTTCCTTGGAAAATTTTCCAATCACATAGGAAGATAAATCAGTAATTGAAATCTACAACAAAAGTAAGCATTTTCGATTGTTTCTTAAAAAATACATCACAGACAACTATTTTAGACTTGCTTTGAAAAGTATTGTATATAAAAATAAAATATTTTACTGACAGAAGCTACATAATTTGTAGAACGTTCTTCTGAAGTTGCAAACTATTTCTTGATTTTTTTTTGCAATGCAACAAAATGAACCATGCAGTAGGCGTGTGTCAAATTGATGCACCACGGGTATTTAAGAGTAAACCTATAATTCAAAGTTAATGTTTATCTGGTAGCATCTTGCTATTAGTTATTTGGTATAATAGCATTTTACTCCTATATCAAATACAGCATAAAGGCAAACTTTAAAAAAATGTCAAATAACAGGAAGTTGTTGCTAATAGAGCTTTGTGATTGCTAAGCAACAATTTGTAATTTAGTACCTGCCCATGGAGACACGTGGGAGGATCACATTTATGTCACATTGGTAATGTAGAAAAAATTTCAAGGTGTGAATTTATTTTATAGATCAAAGGTTAAATGTTTTAATATATCCTGATCACTCCCCTCAGCCCCACAAAAATAAAAATACAGTAATTACATGGCTAGATATTACTTTATCAGAACTCTTACTAATAAAGAGAAAACATATATTAGAACAGGTACTGTAGCTAGCTAAATCGTGATCCAAGTAAAGTATGTATTAAACAGAAGTACTAAACGAAATCTTGAGAAAGGTTTTAACTTTTATTTTTTTTTGTTATACATCTTACTACTTTAACTGAGGGTAATGCACTTTTAAATACATATTTTATAAAATGAAGCCAGCTTTTTAACACTGTCAGTTTACTGACTGATACTTGTTACTAGACACTGTAAGTATGTATCAATATATTTCCTTAAAATTGTGTCAAATCAAAATGTCTGAAGAAAAGTTTGAAAAAATGGCCTTATTGTTCCAGTCTTATTGTATCTCGTTTACCTTACAATTGCAGCTAGTTCAAAAAATAAAAGAACAGCAAATTCTAATATGGTACCACTACATTTAAAAGATTTATGCAACTTTACGTTATACTAATTTATACACATTCATAAAAGTTTGCAAATCAATCAGTAGCTACAATGCTTGAAATTTGTATAATTAAGCTAAAAATGCTGTAACATTATTATATCAAACCCTTCTCTTCCTTTTCACTCCTTTCCTCTATTGCATTTGAATTATTCTAAATTTGAAGAACAGAATTGATATAATATTGGTTTTCATCTGAGTGTGCACGGGAATGGTTCATTGAATCAACCCTGTTTTGGATAAGTGATGGTGAATATAATTCAAAATCTACAAAGTGTATCTTCACAAAATGTGGCAAGCTTTTAGTCTACAGTGTAAGCCTGTTGTACACAAAAAAAAATCAGATGTGTTAATAATTTTTTGTACTAAAGATATATCTGGAAAATGCTGAAATCAGACTCTGACAAGTTGGAGTTCAATGTGATGCTCATGTGAAGCATAAAAATACTTTTGTTCATCAAAAAGTTTGCATAACCTCTACAACTTCCTAAATTTCACATCAAAGGTTACATTCAGTATTACTGTTTACTGTACTTTCTCTACTCTGGCATGAACTGTTGTACAATCATCAATGAAAAGTAACAGAAAAAGTTGGTAACTCTAATATCAAATTCATAATATCCATGTTGAATGGCATCCTGTACAAGGTCAGAGCAAACTTTGAGCCACATCCAAGCACATATAAATGTTGTTCTTTTACTATACTCTTAATGAAAAATAAATGTAAATATTATAGGCTTAATCAATATCTATCGTATATTATGTAAAAATTATTGTATTAGATTAACAAATAGTTGAGTACAAGGTGGTTTCAAGACAATACAGTCTACTATGTGGTAATACAGCTTATCCAATCCATTTAAAATAGCTGTTTTTTTGTATATGTATTTTCATACATGTAAACAGCTAGTGAATAGGATCATTTTGATACTACCTTTGTAGTCAGGTAACAAATTCTTATTACTGCCTTAAAAAGTTAACTTCTACCCCAGAATGCTCCATAAACCCTAATAAAAATAATTTTCTACTTTCTACTCACCCCAAAGGCTAACAGGGTTGTACCTAGTGTATTCCAATGTAGTAGTCCTGTTAAACTTTCCATGGCATTAACTATTGGTTTTGTAGCATATCCTAATAAATAAAAAGACAGACAGACAGATTTTAACCAAACTGTCAAGTTCCTTGGCAGGTTCAGACTATTCTACTTATAATTACAGTATTTTGGCACTTGTGTATAAAATTAAAATCATAAATAATATTCAACGTTAACCTGGCACACAATAAAAAACATT